TTTTTTACAGATGTTACATGGTCAAATTTTATTCTCAAAATTTGTGTTTGTCAGATTGAGCTGTACGAATTTAATTCTTTTCCAGCTGCCTTTTGTGCTTGAAGTGAAGAGAATGTGATATAATGAATGAAATGTTAAGTCTTAAGTTTTATCAATATTAGTCTGGATTGTCTGTTCACAAATGTAAAATTCAGCTTCCTACCTTAGTAAATGCAATTGATAACCAAAGAGCACAATAATGTTACAATGTGAATAAAATCTAAAACATAAGATCTGCAAATAAAATAAAAAAAAGTTTGAAAAAAAAGGTTTTTACCATTAAAATATGTAAAATTAAATCATCTGTTTGATCAACCCTGGTTTTGTGGCTCATTTATACTAAAACACGCGCTTTAACCCTGCTTTTTTTGTTGTTTTTTGAGGGGGTATTTCTTTGGTTTTTTGCCTACATGAAATTATTTTTTTTCTACAAGTTAATTTTACTTTAGGCTTCCATTTGTTGAGTTTGTATTATATTTTTCTTTTTTCATTGATTTATTTTTCATTGCTTTTTGTTCATTTCATCTTCTATCATCCCTTTGGTGTTTTTATAGATTGCTTCACAATCAAAAAATAAAAATCAATGAATTTCCTTAACAACTTAGCTGCAGCTTTCAGTGTAAGTCTTCACTTTATCAGTTAAATGATTTTAAAGGATGTTTTGAAAACTTTATTTCCACTTGTTCTGTTTAATATTATAAAAATCAACTGTTGAAAACACAGGATTCAGAGAGTGGTTTGAGGTTTTGCAAGAGGGAACAGCAAGCTGGAACGACTCAGACTTTATCTTTATATTGTTGCAGAATAACAATAAAAACAACATAAAGTATTTACATGGGTGTGAATGACTGACACCCTTCCTCCCTGCTGATAGTATCTCTCGTTTTGCTTGTATAGAAAATGAATGAATGACTAACTGCCTGACATTTGATTCTCTCCATTAGGCTACAAAGCTCTCCTCAAGTGTCTGTCAGGAAGATTCTGCAGCAGAGAACTGATTGGTATTATGGGACCCTCTGGAGCAGGGAAATCCACTTTGATGAATATTCTGGCAGGATACAGGTGAGCCTTTACCCTTTATGTTTATACTGATGCTTAAAAAGAATAAACTTTCCTCTAGCTTTGCATTAGCCTGTTTAATTTTACTGTTGTATTTTTTTTTTTTTTGTTGGTTTGTTTACATTTCAATGACAGGCTCATTTTTAACTCCAAAAATGGCTTCATGTTTAAAAAAACAGGGAAACTGGAATGAAGGGAACCATCCTGGTGAATGGTCGGCCGAGGGATCTGAGGACCTTCAGGAAGATGTCCTGCTACATCATGCAGGACGATATGCTGCTGCCTCACCTCACTGCAAGGGAAGCCATGATGGTGAAGAAGCTGGAACAAATTACACCAAAATTTTGATGTGAAAAAAGGGGGAAGGATATGAGATGAGTTCTTTTTTGTTGTCGTTTTCCAGGTTTCCGCCCATCTGAAGCTAAACGAGTCTGTGCAGGTCAAAAAAGAACTAGTGAGTCTGAATAACTTAACATAACAATCATATTGGTTATTAGTAATGATTTATACATACAGTATGTTGCTACTCCTGACTCCGGACTCCTCTCCATCCTCATCCTTCTCGATCTCAGTGCAGCCTTTGATACCATTTCTCATCCCATTCTCCTCAATAGATTATCCTCTCTTGGCATCTCTCACATCCCTCTTGAATGGTTCCGCTCATATCTCTCCGACCGCACTCAGTTTATTCAGCTCAAATCTTTCACTTCGCACCCTTCCCCTGTCACTTCTGGTGTTCCTCAAGGCTCAGTTCTTGGCCCCCTCCTCTTCATCACCTACCTTCTTCCCCTTGGCAGTATTTTCCGGAAATTCAACATTCACTTTCACTGTTATGCGGATGACACCCAGCTTTATTTATCCAGTAAACCCACTTCCTCTCTCCCCCCCTTGTCCCTTACTAACTGCCTACTTGAAATTAAAGACTGGTTCACCTCAAACTTCCTTAAACTAAACAGTGATAAAACAGAACTCCTCCTCGTTGCCACTAAATCCACCCTATCAAAAATCAAGTTTCTCACTACCCATTGACAACTCCTTAGTCTCCCCCTCCCCTCAGGTCAAGAGTCTGGGTGTCATCCTCGACTCCTCCCTCTCCTTTCAGTCTCACATAAATAAAATTACCAGGTCTGCATACTTCCACCTTCGCAACATTAACCGTCTCCGTTCCTCCCTCACCACTCATACTGCCTCTGTCCTTATCCACAGCCTCATCACCTCCCGTATTGATTATTGCAATTCTCTTCTTTTTGGCCTCCCTCATAAATCTCTCCATAAACTTCAACTTCTTCAGAACTCAGCTGCTCGTGTCATCACCAGAACCCCCTCCTTCCATCATATTTCCCCTGTTCTTCACCAACTCCATTGGCTCCCAGTTCAATTCAGAATTCAATTCAAAATCCTTCTCTATACTTTCAAAGCCATCCATAACCTTGCTCCTTCATATCTGTCAGACCTCCTTCACATTGCTACCTCCTCCTGCTCCCTTAGATCCTCCTCCTCCATCCACCTCACTGTACCCCCAGCTCGACTTGTCACCATGGGGAGCAGAGCCTTCAGCCGCTCTGCTCCCCAGCTCTGGAACTCACTTCCTCCCGACCTCCGCAGTATTGACTCTCTCCCCTTATTCAAAGCCAGACTCAAAACCCATCTGTTCCAGCTCGCTTATCTGTGAATACACTGCTCTTTTCCCTATCCATAATTGTTTTTTGTTCTCTGTTGTTTTATGTTCCTGTATCTGTATTTTGTATTTTCATCTCTTTTTATTTATTTTTTGTATTATTTGTAAAGTGACCTTGAGTGTCTAGAAAGGCGCTGTTAAATAAAATGTATTATTATTATTATTATTATTATTATTATTATCTAGCAACATCCAATGTGAAAGATAATTGCACATAATGTTTGAGTCTAAATTTACAAACAGTGTAAGAGCAAATAATCTTCGTTGTTTAACCATTTCTTTGTACTTGCATCCAAGGTGGATGAGATCCTGACAGCTCTGGGTCTTCAGGAATGTGCTCAGACACGCACCAGCGTTCTGTCCGGGGGCCAGTGTAAAAGACTAGCCATCGCTTTAGAGCTGGTTAATAACCCACCTGTCATGTTTTTTGATGAACCCACGAGGTAAAATCCTACTCAATGGCTTTGAATCCTAACTCTTCCTGTTTAAACTCACCCTAACTAGTCCATCCCTCTTTTTTTAATCCACTGCAGTGGTCTGGACAGTGCGTCGTGCTTCCAGGTCGTTTCACTCATGAAGTCTCTGGCTCAGGGCGGACGGACAATCATCTGCACCATTCATCAGCCCAGTGCCAAGCTCTTTGAGATGTTCGATAAGGTAGGCTGAGTGCTTTTACTGCCAGACTCGTCAGATTCTCTATTAGTTGCGGCTTAGACCAGGACACCACAGCCTGGCGTAATTCATTTTATACAGCTGAAGAAGCAATGCAGTCAGCATCCAGTTTTGTTTTGCTGGCTATTGATCTATTTTGCAGGGATGCTGTATGTCAGGAGGTTTACTCACTTTGTATGTATGTTGTTCAACCTCCAGCTGTACATCCTTAGTCAGGGTCAGTGCATTTACAAGGGGACAGTCCCTTATCTCATCCCTTATCTGAAGAACCTGGGCCTTCACTGTCCAACATATCACAATCCTGCTGATTTCAGTAAGTCAAGCAATTCCTCTAAGGCACAGGTGGCTTATGGTGAGATGTTGCTGCTGTTTACTTGTTTAAAATAACGTCAAATTTCTGCTCCCAGTCATTGAGGTGGCATCAGGAGAGTATGGGGACTTGAACCCAGTGCTGTTTGAGGCAGTCCAGGGTGGACTCTGTTCAGAGGAGGGCAAGAAGAACTCCAAAGACAAAAGTGATGCCTCTTGTCCTTCTCAGTGTCATGATGTAAGTAATGCTGGACCTTTCTTTGTTATTTCAGTGTATAAATTTGGTAGAAATGCGTATGTAAGGTACAAATGAAATGATTTGCCATTCACACATTTTTTTGGAGCTGCACAGTAATAATAACTGAATATTGTGATCAAGTTGGATCAACACTCCCTAAACTGCCTGGCTGTGCACCTCATACACTTGTCTTGTAATGTATTTAGGGAATACGTATAACAGGTGTGGTGAGAAAAGAAGTTCTGTTCTTGTCTAGGGTCATCTTGTCTGCAAGAAAAAGGCAATATCAAAAAGATAGCTGAAAATTGCAATATATCACTTCCTGCATTTGCCGGATCTTTATTTTAAAGAAACACAAAAATAAGAAAATAACTGAATGCAGTTAAGAGCATGTTTCCTTTGGGGAAAAAATGCAGATAAGTCATGGTTCTGATAACAGTAACTAGGTAATAAATTATACTTCTATTTTTAACCCTCAGTTATGTTTAAGCAGTATCTTCAGCAGAAAGTACTATTTGAAAGTTCTGTTACTTACATCGTCTAAAGAGACCGGCTTCATGAGTCCAAACTTACACATCTTTGTGTCTCTTAAATGTTTTACTCAGATTTAAACCTTCACATGCATATAACAAGTATTTCCAAAAAAGTTTTAAAAAGCAATCCACTGGACTTTATTCCCAAATCTGAAAACATTTTGCATCCGATCCAGGAAGCTTTTTGAATTCAAATTGTCAGAAATAGTGTTGAGTTTGAAGCTTTATAGAGTGGACTGAAAACAAAGACTTGTTTTGGCTTAGAGCTTAGATTTTAACTTTTGTTTTTGGTCTACTTTATAAAGCCTAAACCCATTACGGTACTATTACTCATCACTATTTCTGACAGCATATGCTGTTCTTACAGGACACCGGATCCTAGTAACTGAGCTGAGAAATGGACGCTTCTCTGCGTCACATTTCTCAGATTCAATCTAATAAAAAGATTAAAAAAGCAAAACAAGGGTCAGTCAAGCTTTTGAGTGTTTGTGCCAAATGAAGGAACCAAAGGGGCTGGAAAGCCATGCAGAGGGGACCAGTTTGCTACAGGTCAAGTGAAAAATATCTGTGAATGCTAAACCTTTATTGGCATTAGTCTAAGGAAAAAACAAAAATAGGTGAAAGGTGACAATTACTAATACTGGTGGTGGAATTTTTAAATAACGTATGGCAGTTTTCGCACAAAGCTTAGTTGTTGGGAAGCATTGCTTTTAGTTCTCTGTAAAGGGTAGAAAATGAGATGAACAGTGAGTCACCATGGTAGCTTGAGGCCAAAGCCAGGCCCTAATACTAGCCCGCTAATAAACATTCTAAGCAAAGATTAGCATTAGTATAGTAGAGAACGAGAGCAGTTGAGCTCAAATGCTCCACTTACTGGCTGGGAGGAGTTAAAACTTTTAACTACAGGGTACTGATACCTCTTTACTATCCAGGCTATTGTGCATTTAACTAGTACTCCTAGCAGCAAAACAGAACCACATCATGATGCTACTGCTTCCATGCTTAACAGTTGATAGTTTTTCACATTCTAGCTTTTACTTTTTTTTTAATTGCAGCCAAATATCTTCATCTTTATGTATCCTAAATTTAAAATGTTTTCTCCAGTCCTTGTGCAACTTATGATTGAAACTGTTTAATTGGGACTTTGTATTAGACAGCAGGATCTGAGTCCATGTTAAACTAACCTTCTTTATATGCAAAAAGTGATTCTGGTGATTCTAGATCCTTCATTATGGCTTGAACCTCAGCAGTAACTGGGTTATTCACCCACATGCTTACTAACTATGGTTGATGTGAGGGTAACAGTCTGGGTCAGGAAGGCAAAACCTAAACTCAGTCGGGTTTTTTCAAGAAAACAATAACCTCAAATCTGCATGAAGCCGATTTTAAACCAAGTCAAATGAGATTGAACCTGAATAATGAGCTTATCAAAACTTTAAACCCTGTTTAAAGTTTGGGGATTTTATCTTAAAGCAGGATCATTGGGACAGCAACAAGAAAAGTGTTTCAAATCTGGCAACAAACAATTGATGAATTCTCAGCTGATGGATACTTGTCATAATAATGGTGAAAGTTTTAGTATTTAAATATAAGCCAACATCCATGACTGACTTTGAGTTAATAACAGAGGATTTATGATACATATTTTAATTAAAAAAGCAAGTTTTTGGTTTCATGTTTCAACCTATTTGAAATAAAAATGGTTCAATAAATGAATTAAAAGCCTAAAATTGAAATAACTTCAGGTAAGTGTTAGTACACTGACAGTAACTAACTTGATTTCATGCATAAAAACATTTTTCCACAGGATACTGGAACCCTGGAGAAGCATAGCTTTGCAACCAGTACATTCACACAGTTCTGCATCCTCTTCAAAAGAACCTTCATCACGATATGCAGAGATACGGTAACATCAGAAATTTCAAATTTATTCTTGCTGTTTTACAAAATCCTTTAGAACCTGTTATCATTTTCAAACATATTTCAATTAAAGTCTCAAAATTTTATATTTTTTGTTTTAAAGGTGCTGACCCACCTCAGAGTTATGTCTCACTTGTTTATCGGAGTGCTTATTGGCCTGCTTTATCTTAAAATTGGAAATGATGCCAGCAAAGTCTTCAACAACACAGGCTTCCTCTTCTTCTCCATGCTGTTCCTCATGTTTGCTGCCCTGATGCCCACAGTGCTAACCTGTAAGACACAGTGCATCATCAGAGACTGGAAACATTGATCTGGTGAGTGTTTCTTTCTGACTGAGGTGGAAAATCTTTTAACTGAGCTGTTCTTCCACAGTTCCTCTGGAGATGTCTGTCTTTTTGAGGGAACATCTCAACTACTGGTATAGCCTTAAGGCGTATTACCTGGCCAAAACTATGGCTGACATACCGTTCCAGGTAAGGTTTGATTTCACTTTCAAAAAGTAAGACTTACATGTATTATTAAAAGTTAACAAGACTGAAAGCATGTCTCCTTCCCAGGTGATTTGTCCCATAATGTACTGTAGTATAGTGTACTGGATGACTGAACAACCTCCAGAGGCAGGTCGCTACCTCCTCTTCATGGCCTTGTCAACATCCACAGCCTTGGTAGCCCAGTCCCTGGGGCTGCTCATAGGTGCTGCATCTACATCTCTGCAGGTAAACCATTCTACACGGGTACTGGTCATTTTGCCTAATTAAATTCTTTATTTTTGTCTTTTTTCACTTTCAAAGCTCTCCATAACCTGGCACCTCCCTACCTCTCAGACTTCTTACACCCGTACGCACCTTACCGAACCCTCTGCTCCTCCTCAGTCGCTGTCCTCTTCATTCAGTCTGCTTGCACGTCCACCATGGGCCTCAGATGCTTCAGTCGCTCAGCCCCTCGACTCTAAAACTCTCTCCCTTCAATTACATTACAGAACATTTATATATATATATATATATATATATATATATATATATATATTCTGTAATGTAAATTGTATTTACTAATTTAATTGCAGTGTTTTTTAAGGTGAACTTGAGTGTCTTAATAACTTGAGGTTTGCATCCGTCATTAAATGAGTCATGTGACGTACAGAGGTCAGAGAGCTCCCCTTCCCCACGAGAGCTAAGCTTAAAGTTACTCTTTGCATACAAAGCAGATATGACCCATACTTAATCATACATATTTCTGGTTCTCTGATCTAGGATTTAATCTAGAGAGTGCATTTTGCGATAGTGCAGTGTTGAAGTTATAGGTCTGGTACCCCAAGTGGCTAAAAATTACATAGTGTTGCCTTAAAGTACTGTATATATCTATGTTCTCTGCTCAAGGCCTCAATTTTAAATATCTAATAGCTTTCTTTTAATTGTATGCTTTTGTTTTTGTTTAACAGGTAGCAACCTTTGTTGGTCCAGTCACAGCCATTCCTGTTCTTCTCTTCTCTGGTTTTTTTGTCAACTTTGACACAATTCCTAAATACCTTCAGTGGAGTTCTTATGTGTCCTATGTCAGGTATTGTCTCTATGATCTACTTTCCTTCTTTTAATGAGGTTTTTCAAATGTGGATCTTTTCATAGTCATTGACTAAATTGTGTAATTTCAGATATGGCTTTGAGGGGGTGATACTCTCCATCTATGGCATGAACCGGTCTGAACTTCAATGTCCGGATGTTATGATGTGTAAGTTTCAAAAGCCGGAGGAGGTTCTGCAGCTTCTGGACGTAGAGGACGCAAAGCTTTATGTTGACTTCATGGTGCTGGGGGTCTTTTTCCTGATCCTCAGACTGGCCACCTACCTAGTTCTCCGCTACAAAGTCAAGTCAGAGCGTTAAGATGTCACAGGGATGCTGATGCATATCTGGACAGTGTGATGAAACATATAGTCCTCATTTTACCTACGCTACATCACCTTCACATAGACTAAAAGACAAAAAAAATGCATACAATCCTCTGAAAACTGCTGCACCATTACCCAAACTGTACAGTTAAAGATGGAAGATGTTTAGACTGTGAGATATTTCTCTATATCCTGATGTAGTGACGAGGTCATGGTCTTTCTAAGCTTACCTTCACCCACCCAAAAATAACCTAATAGAAAGGATGCCCAACAATTTACTAAAAGCATGTGTTAGTAATGCAAGAAAGTAGAATTTTTATATTTTGGCATCAAGGTGACGTGTTTAAGAAGCTAAAGCTTCAAGGAAATAGAAGTACATGCTAACCCTCCTGGGACAGTGACCAGTTTTAATTCAGTGCCTAAAAGGTAACTCAGTCCAGTTCCTAGTCATTCTGACTGATGTTTTATCAATTAAGTTGATCACTCAGCATAAGGGGGTTGAAAATGTAACTCTCTCATTTCCATCACAAGATTGGAAACTTTTCAGAGGAGAAAATATTTACAAACTTCTACTTCTCTTTCGGGACAATCTTTTCAGATACCTGTACAAGGACACTAAACATGCAAACTTCCGACTGCCATTGGACGACTTGCATCTGCTTTTGGGTGTAGATCATTTTCGCAGGCCCTCTGCCATACCACAGATGATGGTGGGACATTTTGGCACCGATGAAACATTTGTGAAATGCTTGTCGTATGTAACAAACTGATAATGATTCGACCTGGAAGCAGCCTTGTGAGTTCCTACTTCTTTCTTGTTGTTAATTTTGAAAGCATGGACTGAGCTGGGAACCAACTATGAAAGAAGGTTTTCTGACCAAATTCAATGGGCTGAATGAACGACGCTTTAAACAAAGTGCAATAGCTTAAACTATGGGTAAAGACACGCCGTTAGTCCATTTGTTCGCACTTTTGACATCTCCCTTCTTTAAAATGCTTGTTTCCACTCGTTGTATGCCTCTCTTACCCTATATTGAGAAAAAAATAACCTCCTGTGACCTTTCTTCATCTTTCCTTCTGCTTTCCTGATAAATGAAAAAAAAAAAGTGTGTTGTTGAAAAAACAATGCTAGATACTTGAAATGCTGGCTGGGCATTTTTTGTGCCTCTAAACTAGAGTGATTTCAGTTTACTCTGTTTTTCGTTGGAAATATGTCCTATGTCTACGTACCTATGGTATGGAGGTTGTCACATACAAACATACACATGCACACACATGCACACACAAATACTGACACTCACAAACATATTACATTGTTTAAAAGAGCCTCTCCTTGTCACACTGCAATGCAAATATTTTCCAATAAACTTGCTATGAAATATTTCTTACTTAAACTATGCTACTTAGTAATCCTTATAATGATGCATAACATAACGTGAGCATATAATCAGTGATTGTACAGTGAATATATGTCATGCTGTAAACAAATGTACATTGGCACTGTTTATTCTGTTTATTAATTTGTATTTTATGTGTATGTATTTGAGGAAAGTGCTGCTTGAAAGTGGGAGGACAACTGAATGTTTTAGGAATGAACTCTCCAAAAATAGTTTCCGAGGTTAGCCCTGGTTATTTCCTTTGCTCTCTTAAGGTGTTTTGCTGATTAAAGAGATTTTAGTTTTAAAATATCTGCTATCAAATGTGCACAGGTGTAAAAATATGGAAATGTAAGGGATCAGGAGTTGCAAGCTAACATATAAATCCTTGTGAGTTGCCAGGATAAGAAATGGCCGTTGAATCGGCAACCATTAGGGATGTCCCAGTCAGGACTTTTAGTGCAATGAGACTTATTTTTAAGAGTAGGCAGTTGCAGAAACAAAATCCCAGCCTGATATCTTAGATGCTGCATGAATATCTTTGAGAAAAGGGGAGAAATATTACCCACTCACCAATGACTTACCAAACACTATATTACCTGTTTTTCTTCACAGTAACAGATATTCCAAATTTTTGTTTGTTGCATATTTACTTTGTTTTGACACAACTTGCAGATACTTAGGCTTGTAACACATTTCATTGTAGTTTTAGTTCATTTTTTGGAAGGATAAAAGTTAAAGAAAATTATACGGCTTCATTAACATTGTCTTTTGCTTTGAGCATTCTAAAATTTAGCTAAGACTAATATCAGTTTGGGGATTAAGGTGATTTTATTTTAACACCAGTAACGTCCTGGAGTCTTGAGCACCCAATTTTGTAATGTAACAGATTTGCTTTTCCAAGTCAGATATTTGTTTCTTAAGATATATCTGATTTAAAAGGGATTGCAACTAACAACATCTTGCTGCTGGCAATATTTTGCTGCAGAATTTACTAAACGATAGGCCAAATCCAAAGTAACTGTTTGTTTTGATAGAACTCGTTGATCAACTCCATTCACAATATGTTTTTAGGTTTCCCCTGCATCTTAAACTTATGATTTTGCTTTGAACAAGTAATTGAAAAGGTTAAGCAAGTTGTGCAAATGTAAAAGTTGCTTCTTAAAGGTGCAGCTTACATAAAATACCTAACTACAGCATTATGAGGTATCAGGAGTCAAGCTCAGCCAGGGCTGTAGCAAAAAAAAAAAAAAAAAGAAGAAGAACAGGAAAACCAATATTTGAAACTAGATCAGGACATCCCTTCAATCAATATGTAGCTGAGACTGTCAGCATTAACAGGGAGGTAGCTGAATGAAATAGGAGACACATAGAGGGAGAAAGATACAGCAGCATGTTTGTTTCTATCATGACAGCAATAGTTAACATTGTGATGTTCTTAGAGTAATACCTCCCCCTGCTGTTACTTTAGTCACTTTAGAAGTCTTATCTTCCTGTTGGTTTTATTATGTGCAATAATCATCCAAAGGTATTTTGAACTTGAAGAAAAGGGAACTGTGACAATTCCATCACAAGCATGTTGCATTTTCTTGTTTGTTCTGTTTTGTTCTCCTCATTAATTTATTGTTACGTCTTTGTCAAAAGTTGCTTGAAATAAGGCCGATGGGGCTTATAAACACACCCTGCCAGGATACCTGACCATGTCTTCAAAATATTTTTCAATTTGATAAAAGGCTCTTTATAAAGCCGTACATAATTAGTTAACATTTAAATGTTTTAAGAAAAGCTTTCTTCTGTGATTTCAAAGGGAGATAATTATCCTGTTGGTGCAAACGTTTGGCATTTGCAATAAGCTCTACATGGCAGGTTGCTTGACGAAAGTCCTTACTAAGTGTGGTTCGGGCGAAGCAGATGCTAATTTCTTTCTTTTTTTTTTTTTTTTTTTTTACCAAAAAAATTGAATTATGCAGGTAATGCAGCAAACCATAATTCATTTAGGTCTGTTTGTTTCTCTTCTTTAAGATTGAGACCCAGTTCAGCATCTTTTGACATTTTTATTATGATGCCACAATTAAATGCACTCGTTCATGCATGCTAAGTAAAATATTCAGGCTACTTCCACAAAATGCTTGACAAGGCAAAGGGTCCTACTGAGGCTTATTTTCATGCATTGCTCTTTGAACATTTCTCTTTTGTTTTTGCTCTAATGAAGAATATCATCTACAACTTAATTTAATCTTTTGTCAACAATCGCAAGTTCTGTATACTGAATGCTGTTCCAAGGATTATAATAAAGATAATTTATAACCTTTGCCCTTGCTGTTTTAGTTGATTTACATCAAAAGTGGTTCCTTACAAAATCCTACACTGAAAGCCACTAACAACAAATGATTGTTCAACTTGACTTTTCAAGGCGACCTTTCATATATTTGCACTGGAGGCCTTTGAAAGGGAAAAAAAGAGTGGTGTTTGTTAAGCTGCAGAATAGCTTCATTGTGTAAGTATATATGAGATCATTAATTGCAGGCTTGAATAATCTGGTGTAATGAGAGAAACTCGAGAGCTTCCACAAATGCATGTAATGAGCTTTTTCAGGGAAGGGAACTCATTTAGTCATATTCATTGTTGCCTTTGCTTAAAGAACATATTGTTTTCTCTGCACTCAGAGAAACTTTAATATTGTTTATTAGCTGTTTCTTTAATTGTGTATGTATGGTGTGAACTTGTTCTATTTTTGTTGCAGCATGTTTTTAAATTGAAATTAAAGTAAAAAGTTTTCCAGAAATTAAACTTTGTAAAAGTTCCCTAATCCAAAAATTGCTTCAATAGTCACTTTGCAGTTTTCTCAGATTTTTTTTTTTTAAAAACCTTTTTAATATGTCATTATTTAAATTTTTTTTTTTTTTTTTTTCAGATAGATTTTTACAAATTGCATTTTTTTTTCAAATTGTTTTTTTTTTTTACAGATCATATCTCCTCACTTGGTGGGGCTTCCTTCGGAGTGAGGGGCAGAGATACATTCCTTTTGGTTTGCTTGGGACTGTTTGCTTTGGGCTTTAAGTGAAGAAAATGTGAACACAATTTGAAAAGAACTCAAATGGTAAAAACTTAATCTGTAAAAGAGAAATTTTAAATAATTACATTAGAAAATATAACATTGAAAGACAGAAAGAAAACAACAAAGTTAATTTCAAATTTCCATTTAGAAAACATGTTCTTTGCTTGAAACAACAATGGAACAAATGTAATTGTGCTTTTGTTTCTTTAGCTTCACATTCAGAGCAGGTTTTGTAAAACATCCTCAGATTTTACACAAAGACTGTAATTGGTTTCACCCTTATAGTTTTATTTTATTCATTTATTTATTTTAGACAAATAGGTAGTTCTGCAAGCTCTCGCATCTTATCACACAGATGCTTCCTTCCATAATAAATGGCCATGTATTCTGGAATAAATTCTCCTTGATATAAGCTCCTCACTGGCCTAGTTTTTTTAAGCACTGAAACGATCAAAGTATATTTTTAAGGACAATGGCAAAATGTCAAAATTAGAAAATAGTCCAACAAAATTTCTGTCTAATAAAGCAAACAGTCACATTCCATTAGTAAACTGTTTTTCTAGTATAAAATAAGCTTCTGTAGCAAACGCCCATAAAACATAGAATAAACAACACAAAACAAGCTGATAATTTAGAAATGCACACTTGATATATTGTTTTAAGACTGTCAACAACCAAACATCTGAGAAGTTTCGTTTTTTGCATTCAGTCCCCTTTACTCTCATACCCTTAATCTCAATTGGCTTCAGAAATCACCTTATTGTGATCAGCCTTCATGTAATTTAATCTCGGTATAAATGCAGTGTGAAGGCCTCAGAGGTTTGTTAGAGAACTTTAATGAACAAAAAAAAAAAAATTATGAAAACCAAGGAACACAGCAGACATCTCAGGGTTAAAACGAAATACACAGCATAGCAGAACAAAATTATAAAAGACTACATTTAACTATGAAAGGTAAATTTGACTCCAAAAATAAACAGTTCATACTATATGGAAGAAGGAGCTTTTGTCAGGTAAGATCGAAATTAAATCATATTGTTTCGATAAAAGCTATATGTGGTTAGAATCTAACACCTATTGTCACCTTAAATATTGTGTGGGGATATGGGAATATTGCTCTTCAGAAGAGAAAGGAAAGCTGATCATAGTTGAGGGGAAGAGTATTTAGGAAAATCCTTGGAAATAAAAAAGGCTGAGCAGAGTTTTTTTCTAGCAGAGAATTGACTCAACGCATTCAGCAACAGATTCAGTGAAACTTTATAAATCAAAGCATATTGGTTAGTTAGGAGGAACTAGTCAAGCCTAAAGCAAAGACTGGAAAGACTGCTGTTCACATATGTGCTCCATCCAATCTGCATGAGCTCGAATTACTTTGCAAAAGAAAAATCTTTTTTAGATGTGTAAACTTTGTGCATACAGTAAAAACCAATGGTGATGCATTGGTCTAGAGCAGGGGTCGCCAACCTTTTTAAGGATGAGGGCCACTTCAAGGATACTGAGTCATAGGAAGGGCTACCGATACTGACCCCAGAACTGCAACGGTCAGCGTTCACCTAACCTTAATTTTTTCTTTTATTTTCTCATTTTATTTTAGACGTTGTCATTTTGAAATGTTCTAATAATTAAAAGGAAGAGCAACAGAATAAAATAAAATTTCAAACTCTGCCCACTGGTGAGTCTTTTTTTAGAAGATGCTGAGGGCATCCCGTGTGGTCCCTGAGGGCTCTTTGAGGCCCACGGGCATCACGTTGGTGACCCCTGGTCTAAAGCAAGAGTTCTCAAGTCCAGTCCTCAAGAGAAACCATCATGTAACTTTAAGATGCATCTCTTCTCCAAGTTGTGTTAAAAATGGGGTGCATCAAAAAGCTGTAGGATAGTACCTCTTGAGGACTGGAATTGGGCACCCCTGGTCTAGAACACATTTGAAAACTCAAGGCCTATGGACTGAATCCAGCCTGCAGTTTATGTGGCCCTCAAGAGCTTAAAAAGGCTTCTTTTAAGTGTTCACAGTGGCTAAAAATCCACTCGGTGTACACAAAATTGCAATAACAGTTGTCTAAGTCTAAGTAAAGTTATGAAACCAGAGCGGTGTCTTCTTTTAAATGAAATGATAAAATCAAAAATTTAATTTAGAGCTGCAACCATCCATTTTTCCAGACTTGATAATGTCACAGTAGCCTGACATAAAAATGAGTATGACAACCCTGTATGGAGTTATAAGAGTCACATAATTCAAAAACTCACATGTGATCCGCACATGCACATGACAACTGTTTTAATTACCTGTATTAATTGTATTAACAGATTTATAAACAGCCTAATTTGGTACGTATATACATAGGCTATGAATTGTGTTTTATACATTTTTTTTAACGAAACAACCTAGTGCTAAAATAAAAGTACAGGTAATGGTCTAAAAATAAGACTGATAAAAAAAAAATTAAAGATAGTCTACGTTGTGACTGAGTACAAAATTATAGTTACATTTTTACCTCAATTTATAAAAAAATTACTTAAAAAACTAATCTAAAATAAATAAACAATCAGAGCGTATAATATGGATTGAACTGAATAGAAGTCTTGCATGAGCAGTCGAATATTTTTTAGAGCTTTGATCTTCACATCATTAAATTCGCAAACAGCATTAAACATGAAATACAAACTCAAAATCAAGGTGTGGATGTAAAATCTAATTATTGATTATTGCATGTCAGCTCTGCTGGGGTTTTCCTATAAACAAACTGGGCTCCAACCAGACAGATTCTCCTCTTGGTTTTAACTTTATTTTGTTGCAGCTATGGCAATGTGTCGTTATTAATATGTAGTTAAGGGGGTACTTTGGTGAAATTAAGAAAATAAAGTAAAGATATTTGTGTTAAATTGTAAAGTAAAAATTGAAAAGTATCCGAAAAACTATTTGAACTAAGTCAAGTACAGATTGTAGCGTATATATATATATATATATATATATATTTTTTATAAAATGTTTTATAGTTATATTTTTCTAGGTGTTTTTAGTTTTTTTTTATGAAAGACGAGGTATTTTCTCTCTTTTTTCTTTTATACTCTTTGGTAGATCTACTTCCGCTCTAAGACATTACCATTTCCGTTTTATAGTCCAAGAACGATCTTGTCGCGTATTTCATCTTCGGGCGTAGACCGGCATTTTCCCACAACACCCTGCTCCCGACACTCACAGATGACGAAAATGGCGGACAACTCGTCTTCGGTAGGTTCTCTCATAAACAATGCTATTCTGCGACGTTTACCGTTATTGGCACGTTGAATAATATGCTGTTGTGTTCAGGTGGAGATTGTAGAGGGCTGCCGCCTCCCGGTACTTCGTAAAAACCAAGAACACGAAGACGAATGGCGTAAGTGTTGTCAGAAGCTAAAGCTAAGCACACAGCCTCAGTTGTTGTTAACGGACACAAACAACACACGGCCCCTGTTTGAAGAACCAAGCTAGACATTCACTCTTTGCTGTGTGACAGGATTTTATTTATTATTTTATTCTTTTACACACACTTAATAAAAAATAAAAAAAAACATACCATACATCTAATCAGTCTGCTACTGTCTTGATGAAAATGATACCCAGTTTAATAGATCAGTTATTTTATATTAAAGTGTTGAATTCTGAAGATAAAATTAATTACACTTAATGAGACATTATCCTCATTATTTCTTAGGTGATAAAATAAATGTGGTGTTCGATGTTAACCATTTGTTTTGATTTATTGTTTGGGTTATAGTAGTTCATGGGATAGAATATTACAGTAGTAATAGTAATATATGCATTGGATCATTGGTATGATCCAATGATTGTATTACTGTTAAATGATGAAATAGTGTGAATTTAGCGGGTTGTGGCAGTAAATGTTGATGGCCAAAGGTTTTTAGTTCCACTATTTATGCAAACTCTTGTAGAACAGAACACACAGGGACAATTGTTTTGGAATTTTTGAAGCATTAATATATCATAAGTATCCTGTTAGTTGACTCGATAATCTTTTCTACTACTTTTTTGCCCCTTGCTCAAAGTTTTTATTTGGTATTGTATATTTAGGATTTAGAATTTCCAATACCATTGTATGTTAAAGGTTCTTTACATTGATTTTATTCATAAAATCTCAGAAAGAGAACACAAATAAAGGTTTAAAATATGGATGATTAAAAAAAGCAAGAAACATTGCACATATATACAATATATATGAATATTTAAACTTTGAAGATGCTTAAGAAAATAAGATTAAAAAAGTTTCTTGTTTTTTTTTTTTGTTTTTTGTTTTTTTTACAAATTATTAAAAGCCTAGCTGTAGTAGTTTAGGGTCAAGAAAATCATGTTTGATTTACAGAAGGCGAATAGTCTTTAGCGATGTTTTTTTTTTTTTCATTAATGACTGGAGTCCAGCAAAAATTGAAAAATCTTTGGTCTTGATTTTAGAATTATATCAACTTTGTAAAAATAAGAATGTTTTTTTGTTGGTGAAAGTAGAAAACTCCCAAATAGAATTGTGTGGCAAATCCCAAAGAAAACACCAAGCCAAAAACTAACCCTGGCAAAGTTTGATTTAAAATCATTCAAGGAATTTTGTTTCTATAGGTGTGAAGTGCAGTGCATCATATGTATGATACTAAAATGTTTTGAGAAAATATGCCCAGTAACACAAAGAGCTGACTGAGTCAACTAACAAAATATTTCTATGACAGTTATACTTAAATTATTAGTACAGCTTGGATAGAACATGTCTCTTTATTCAATTATTTGTATACTTTAATTTATTTATAGCATTTTAATAACTCGTAGGAAACTCTTCCTGAGGAAACTTTTTTCTCTTGCAGCTTCTGTGATCTTTGGTGATGAGCTATTTAAAGTTATTTCAAAGGTCTTTCAGATGAAATGGTTTAATTTGAGAAACATGATTGTTTTGTTTTTGTAAACATGTCATTATAGTGTCAGTCATTATGCAACAAAAGAAACAGTTAGTTGATGTTTAGTTTCAAATGTTCTGCTTTTTCTTCCAGCATTGGCTGAGATTCTAAGTGTGAAAGAAGTTTCTGGAAGAACGCTATACTATGTTCACTACATCGACTGTGAGTAAAAACACTTTTTTCTTTTTTTTCACCTACTGTTTCAAACTGCTGATTTATGTTACTGTAAATGTTTAGAATTTTGGGTAAGTCTTTCCACTAAAACATAGCAGTTGTTTTGGGTCCTCTCTAATTTTATGCTGGGGAACAGATGTCTTTTTATATGTATAAATGAATGTATTTCTACATATTATACTGATTGTTTCTTTTCTGGTTAAAATTTACTCTATTTCAGTCAATAAGCGCCTGGATGAGTGGGTCACAACAGACCGGCTGGACATGAAGAAGCTCCAGTTTCCTAAGAAAGAAGCTAAAACACCAACAAAGAATGGTCTGTCAGGCTCCCGACCCAGTTCACCAGAGAGAGAGGTGGTAAGTCTACCAAACCGCTCATTTTTCCTAGAGTTTGTTTATGTCAATATTTCTTTTCCAGTCTTAAACTTTTAAAACCTTTTTTTTTTTTTTTTTGTAAGTAAGTGTGATCAAGTGATTTCTGAAATCAAACGCTGTTTTTCTGTGATTCATTTTCACCTCAGATATTTTTTACAAATAATGAGCAAAATACTGCGTTTTCATTATCCAAATAAATAAAAAAAATTCTGTTTATTCTAACAATAAATGTAAATAAATCCAAATGGAAGCCAATTCTGTCAATTCAGCCAATTTTTTTTCTTATCAGTGATTTTGATATATTTTACGATTCTTTTATAAAAACATTTATTTCTAAAGTAAACTTGCTGCAGTCACGTTGAGGATTGACAGTGAGGACTAGTGGTGCAACGGATTGTCATTGAGCCATGATCCATTGGGATCAATATTTTCGGTTCGACCCACACAGGATCTGGGGATTGATTTACATAGAAAGGAAAGAAATTTTGTGCCCATGTTCCGTTAACACACAGCGTGGTCATGGCGATTGGAGGAACTGAGGAGCTTGAATGCCCCGTGTCATTTAAAGCCTCGGTATGGGAACATTTTGGCTTCCCCCTTAAATTTAATGATGAAGGAAAGGTTAGTAATAAAACCGTGTGTGTAGGCACTGTGACTCAAGAAAGCAACTGACAGGAGTGAAAACGAAGCCTGCTCAACAACCGCTTATCATTGTGGCATTTTAGCAGCTCCTTGCTGCACAATCCGACCAAGCTAAAGCCATTGAAAACGGTATTGGTGTGTCCATGGTGCGAACATGAGCCCATATTCAGTTGTGCATAATGAGGGCTTTAAACACACGGTGAAAGTGCTTGAGCCACATTATAAAATCCCGTTGCGCACAGGCTTAAGCGAAAAGGTTGTGCCAGGTTTTTATCAGCAGGAGAAGGAAAAAAGTTGGGGATGAACTATCCAGAGTATCCTCCGTTGCAATAACGGTCCAAAGTAAGGGTCTGAACTGAGAGGGGTTTTTTTATCCGTTGCACCTCTAGTAATGTGACTAATAGGAGCTGGACTCTGTTAGCAGAACCTAGCTATGTGGAGTTTCAACTTGATATATATATTATTCCATTTCATAACTGCTCTTTAAATTGAATTTGAGGATATGAATTTAAAATGATTAAATTAATAAGGATTAATCCTGTTGTTGGCTGACTGGGGATTAGGGATGGAACGGTTTATGAAAACCATCCGAACCGTTCGGTTCGACTGTCTCTGTTCGGTTCGCTTTGCGTGTGTTGTGTTCGGTTCATGCGCTGCTCCTTTTTCTCATAGAGGAAGCGATTACACTCCAGAGCAGAAGGTGGCACCGCGACCAAAGCCAACCACCATTAGTAAACAATAATAAGAAGAAGCGAAGCAGCGTAGCCGGGTGTAGCGGGGGAAAAATCAATTGTTGTGGAGAATTGTGTGGGAATGGCGAGTGGGAAAGAACAGGAGTTGGAAGACGCGCCAGCAGCACTTTATAGGTCTGCTGTATGGGTGCGCTTTGCATTTAGAGTGACC